TTTTTTTTTTTTTTTTTTTTTTTTTTTTTTTTTTTTTTTTTTTTTTTTTTTTTTGCTTGCTTTTTCTTTTCTTTCCTTCTTGCTTGCACATATACTCATGATTTTTAGCTGTAACATCATACATACTCTGGTTAACAACAATACCAGCCAAGAGAGAGCGAAAGTATGCGTGTGTATGTATAGATAAGGGTACGTATACAACAAGGCGATAAAATATGCCGAGCGTTTTCTGCCATGCACTGCACGGCCACCGCCTTGTATGTTTTTTCGTTTCCCGCGCGCGCTCTGCTCATCCTCTTCGTTTTCCTTTTTTTTTTCTCTCTCTCTCTCTTTCTTCTTCGGCTTTGTCTGCCTCTTTTGCTCCGATCGACCCCTTTCTCTTGTATACGTTTTTTCTCATTTCTTTTTCCTCCTCTTCCCCCCCCCCCCTTTGTCGCCAATATATAATACATCGGCACAGATACCGCGCTGTGTCCCCGTAATTCACTGATACGCGCACTTGATGCAGCCTTGTTTTTGTTTCTACCTCCCTCCCCCCCCCCCTCTCAATGATTGTTGATAAATAAATTGGCCGAGCATGATTGGGTTCCCTTAAAAAGTATGGGGTGCAAGATAAGCGCGTGAGAGAGAGGAGGGTTGGTTCGCAAACGGAAGAGAAAAATGCAGCTTGCGAAAACGAAGTGTGCATTATAATAAATGGGGTCCGAAGTAACTAGTGTATATTGTATATACATATACCTACTACGAGGTTGAGAATCGCAGCCGGCTCGGGTGCCTATAACTTATACATGTGTAGCGAATGGGTGGCTGTGTGTGTGCGCGAGTATATACAGAGGGAGGAGCCAAGGAGGAAGAGGAAGACAGAAGCAAGGACAGGGGGAGCAAGGGAGAGAGAGAGAGAAAAAATATATATAAAGAAGCAAGGCAAAACGTGAGCTCTTTCTCTTTCTCCGGACTCTCTTGCAGAATTTTAGCGTGTGTTGGTATGTGCGATAGGAAGGAAGGTCGTGTCTCTCTCTCTTTTTTTTTTTTTTTTTTTTTTCGGTTCGCTGTTCGCCATCCAGCAGGGAGAGACAGTGCACATATATCGCTGCTGCACGGCAAACTTTGAAACGCAAGCGTGCGTGCGTGCGTTAGGCTATAGGTATATCTGTGCGTGCGCGTGTGTGTGGTTTTTTGCACACCATGTGTGTATGTATGGTGCACTTGAATATAAATATATATATATATATATGCACGTCGTGCAGGAGAGTTCGTCGGCACCAGGCAATCGAGCTCCCGCCGAAAAGGCCGAAATCGCGAATGCAGGCGAGAGAAGGAGTATACATATCTACAATATATTTATATAATGGATACTTTTCTTCCTTTCCTTCTTTCGCTTACGTATTAAAATGGGCATAGATGTACCATCAAGTCCATAATACCAATTCTTTCCTCCATATGCACTCCTGAAATGTAGCGTACGCTCCTCGCGCAAAAATACATAATAATAATAATAATAATAATAATAATAATAAAAAATGCGCAAGTAAGTATAGGTATAACAAACTCATCCGTACACTTGTACGAGGGTTTACGTGGCGTATAGCTTGCGAATTTCACGTCCGTGTGTCTCTCCTCCTTCCTGCTCCCTCTGCTCCCGAAGAATGAGATTTAAATTCGGGATTTATTTGTTGTACCGCGTGTGCTGCGTATTGTGTATACACACATACACTATATACACGCTCTCCGGCAATAAAGACCCATACAGTGTGCATGGTGCTTTTTTTTTTTTTTTTTTTTTTTTTCTTCCTTTTCCTCTTCTTCCTTACCTTTTTTCCGCTCTTTTTAGCCCGATCCCTCATTGCTCGGCTCTTTCTTCTTTCTCGCAGTCTTGCTGTCGCNCACCGCCGCTCCATCGTCGTCGTCGTCGTACCAGCACGCAGTTCGTCGTCTTTCTCTCTCTCTCTCCTCTTTTAGCTTCGATCCTCCCCCCCCCCCCGTTGCCCCGCGTCGCACGCGCGTGTGTGTATAGGTATCCGTCTTATCGGGCTGTACGTTGCACTCTCTGCCGCTTACATACACCTACCCCTCCTTTCGCCGTCGTTGCCGCCGACTCCCGTTTGCTAAAATATATACGCTTATATCCATCTTCTCGCTTATGCCGAGTGAGTTTGTGTGTGCGTGTGTGCGCGTGCGTTGGTCTCTCCCGAAGTCTTTTGTTTCTGCCGAAAAAAAAAAAAAAAAAAAAAATTGCCGACGCATCGGCTGTATACGCGATGCATAATATTACAATGCCCACACTAAAGTGACAGGCGCACAACATGTGCGCGTCGATGACTTGCGCCGTACCTGACTTGGGTGTAGCTACTATTTATACGTATATATGTATATAAATTGCATGCGGGGGAAAGCCAGCCGGGAAAGCCTGTCTTACCATAACCTTACATTTTCCACTAGACCGTGCCTCTCTGGGTTTCAGTAGTACAGGTAAACGATGGGTTTTCCATACATTGGGTATTGTGATTGAAAAGAAAAAAAAAACAGAAAAAAGAAAAAAAAAGAAAAAAAACAAAAATTAAATAATGATAAACGTTGCGCACAATTGACGAGTTGATGATATTAATTTTCCTTTGAATTGTAGTACATGATAATAATTGAATTAAATTTTGTATAAATTGACTAACTTTGGTGTTTTGTTTTGTTTTGTTTTTTTTTTTTTTTTTTTTTTTTTCTTCCTTTTCCTCTTCTTCCTTACCTTTTTTCCGCTCTTTTTAGCCCGATCCCTCATTGCTCGGCTCTTTCTTCTTTCTCGCAGTCTTGCTGTCGCGCGCGAGATTAGAGCACAATGTTGTTGCACCCCGACGGAAAAGAAAAGAGAAGGGGGTTGGCGAATTTCGATTCGAAGGGTATACAAGTATATTATATGCTCACCTTTGCGAAATTGCACAAACGAATATCATATGCATGGGGTATATACGTGACAGACGGACGACGAGCGGTCCCTCGATGTGCGTGAGAATAATGTGTTTGTACATCGAGACGGATACGTTAGGATTTTTTTTTTTTTTTTTTCCGGCTCTGTTTCTCCGTCAGTAGTATATGCCGATTTTGGTAAGACGGATTTTCCGCCTTGCTTGTACTGGACCGGTTACAAGCGTTTTCGCGCGTATTGGGTTAAGCTCAAATAGAGTGTTTATTTGTTTATTTATTTTTTTCTATCTGTAGATCTGCATTTGGAGATAAATAAATATTCATCACGAGTGAAATTGAAAAAACAGCCCCTAAATTAAATACGGGCGTGAGAAAAACAAAACTTACACTTTCCTTATTTGATTGCTCGATTAGGTTAGAAAAATAATACTTGTCGGTGAAGACCCGAAGCATATGATAAACCGTGTAAATTAATTGTAGAACGAGATGGTTTTTTTTTCTCCTTCCAGTATCAGTAAGTACCATCTGGCAGTCACTCGACGCGTATACATAGCAACCATTAAACAGAAGACGACGACCCCTTGAATTGTATTATAAAAAAAAAAAAAAATAATAATAATAATAAAATCCTCCGAATGGACCGCTTTCGAAAAAGCAACAAGTCGCACGGCGAGTATCGTTGTATCTTTGGGAGTTTGCACATCGCTTTGAGCATGTACGGGGTATATACGGCAACCTTATCCAGTTAATTTTATTATCCTCAATCGAATAGTACCCACATTTTATACAAGAGTACCATCGATCACTTGTGCACGCCGAGCGAGAAGGGGGCTAGGAAAGAAGGGAATAAACGCACTTGAAACCGAGTAAAAGAATACCCACACACACCATCGATTTCAATCGCGCACGTATGCCACCGTATTCGTTCAGTACAGAAAAAAAAAAAAAAAAAAAAAAAAAAAAAACCTGCACGCTTGTAATCACAACAAGCAATTAAATCCGATTGCGCGCTCCCGAATGTATATGAGTAATCGCTCTCCACCTCGTTTGAACCCTGTAAAGACGCACCCTTCTCGTGCCCACCCTCCTTGTAATCTGTCAATCGAACACTATCCAAGGACACCCAAATTGACCAGTGATTTTAGCTTCACTCCAAGTGAGGCGAATAAAAATTTTTTAAAAATTTTANATAAAAAATGGTACTAAGTGTTTGTCATCCTTCGTTTTAATTGTCCTTTGGTGATGGGTTTTCAAATGCCATGTAAAATTGGCAAGTTACTTTTATTTATTGTGTTTTCATTAAATTAGAAATACAATGATTAAAAAAAAAAAAAAAATTATACTATTTCGTACCTTGATAATTTATGGGTCTGTAGTGCGATATTCTCAATGCTGATAATTGACTAACGCTATAATTTTACCACAATTATAACTAAACACGTGTTCCTTACGTATAAAAACTAAAAGTAAATATTGTGTTAAAATTAATAAGTACATAGCAAATTGTGTAGAAAAAATTCTACTTTAAATATTCTAGATGCACCTTATTATAATTTGAACATAACCAGGTCCAATCATTAACCAATTTTTGTTTCTTATTCAAACGCTAAAATGATTAAGCATGCACGTATTATTTTGTATTCTTATTATTTTTGGTGCTAATCTAGCACTTTAGACATTTACGAGTAAAGAGAAGTTTGAACTGATACGTTTATTAGGCAGCAAGTTTGGTTGAGTTGTATTCAGTTTTATTTATTTTTTTTTACTTCTAAGGAATATGATTTGTATTTTTTGATAGCGTTTGTGAAATATTTAAGTACAACGTCTGTGAACGTATCATTATTTGAAATCATTTTTTTTCAGCTCTCAAGGAATTAGGTAAGCCGCGATATATGTTAAGATTGATAAATGAGTCGTTGTGTTCGAGTGTCAGTAGCAATAATATTTTTTTTATAACTTTTTGTTTAGTTCGATAAGTTTTTAATCGTTAATGCACGTTAATTTTCATTAGCAGAAAACTTTTTTTACATTTTTTTAAACAGTATACTGTGATTTATAATGTGTATTAAGTTTCTAGGTAAATGCAAGTTAGCATGCATTAAACGGTAGAAAGGTAAAATTTTTAAAAATTTTTTTCAAACATGACTTTCTTTTTCTGATATTTTTGTGCTAAGCTTTTTTTATATTTATAAAGTGTTTTTTCTCTTATCGAAAAAAAATCCTCCAAGATAAAGTTCTCTCTATTTTTTTTTATTTTTTTTTACTTAAATCTGTCATGGAGTTCTCTTTTGTTTCTAAGAGGTAAACACTTATTGTTCCTTTCTTTTACATAGTTGATAACATATATTGACGGATAGCAAATTTTTTTCATTACAATAAATTATTTACTGGCATGGATTTGTTATGTCTTAATGCTATTATCGCTTAACTCATGTTACAAATTATAATGTTATGATTATTTTTAGTGACTAAGATTTTTTGTTTATTCAAATATTTATGCGCTATTTATTATACATATAAGGAATGTTATCTTTTTTCTTATTTTATTACAATAGAGTTTTATGTATAGGTGTTATTCGGTATATATATATATATATACATATATATAACAGAGGTGATAATCTACAGTTCGCCCGACGACAAGAAAAAGAACCGAGGCTTCTGTTTCCTCGAGTATGAGTCGCACAAGGCCGCCTCGCTGGCCAAAAGACGACTCGGCACTGGCCGCATGAAGGTCTGGGGCTGCGACATCATCGTCGACTGGGCTGATCCCCAAGAAGAACCTGACGAACAAACCATGTCCAAAGTAAGCAACTTTCATTCATGACACGATATTCGCACCTTCAAGAGTTCACCTCGTGAGAAATCGATTTTTTATGTTTACAGGTACGTGTACTGTACGTGAGAAACCTGACGCAAGATTGTACCGAAGAAAAATTGAAAGAGTGTTTCGAACAGTATGGCAAAATCGAGAGGGTGAAGAAAATTAAAGATTACGCTTTTGTTCATTTCGAAGACAGAGACTGTGCCGTGAAGGTATAATTTTTTTGTTTGTTGATTTTTTTGTTTTTGTTTTTAAAGCTATGGTTTTTATAACAATTGTTCGTATGTGTTTGAAGGCGATGCGAGAGGTGAACGGCAAAGAAATGTTCGGTTCTCACATAGAAGTATCGCTGGCAAAGCCCCCATCCGACAAAAAGAAAAAGGAAGAAATGCTGCGCGCGCGAGAGCGTAGAATGATGCAAATGATACAGATGATGCAAAGCCGCACCGGGTACGACAATGCTTTGTACGTAATCAAGTTTTTTTCACACTATTTTCATCCATCTGCATGTCGGCTTNTGGATTGCAATTGTGTTTTTATTATTCTAGTTTATATACAATTATATTAATCCAATAAGTAATTACCCATCGGCTAGTTATTCAAAATACTGTTATTACTAATTAAATATTAACAACTATTGAGACTCAGTTTAGTGCTCACGATATTACTATAATAATTTACTAGCGGCCCCTCATCTTGGCTTCGCCTAAGATTCCCTCAATGCAACACTGTAGTGTCTTGACCTGTATCGTAAAACGTTTCTAGTTGAAAATTTTACATCTATTTTTGACACTTCTCAAAACAAAAATCTTCTTTTTGAAAATATGTTTGTTCAGAATCCATAGTGTATATTCTGGTCAAATAATAAGCTGTAAAAAATAAAAAAAATACAACTATGCCACAAAGGACTGTGCGTTCTTTATGCCATAAAATAATTGTTGTTCCTTAAGGGTCGCTGATTTGCAGTTTCTTTAGTATAATACACGAAAAACTAATTCAACTCACAAAAAATATACAATCAAATAACTATTTTCTCTAATCTCACAACTTTATTACCAGAGTAACAAAGCCCTGCAGCTTCATCCTTACATTTTTTAACGTGACAAAAATACAAATACATATTATACATAAAGCTTAAGCTAGCCGACGAACCAAGCCGACGTACTATATCGAAAGCTCCACAAAAAAAAAAAAAAAAAAAAAAAAATTGATCTCTGGGTCTCTATTTGTAATGTGTGTTTTTATAGATTATGATTACGACTATTACGGTTATGGAGATTATCGAGGTGGCTACAGTGATCCATATTACGATGACTATTATCGATACGAAGATTTCTATTTCGATTACGCGCCGCCTCCGCCACCTGCCAGAGGGAGAGGCAGGCAGCCTCAACCGGTGGGTCGCCCTTTTTTAATCGTTTTTTCTAAACAAATAGTCATCTTTTTTACCTGTATTTTCAAATTTATTAGATGTTGAAAAAAAATTTTTTTTGAAATTTATTTAGATTAAATATTGACTATGACGTTAATAACATACTGTTTTAATGTATTTATTACTATTACATTGTTGTTGTTAAGAAATTTCAATATTTAAAAGTACAAGTAATTTAATTGTGGCACAGTGTTCGTGGACATCCCCCTTTGCAATGTGTTAATTTAAACAAAAATTTGTACAATTTAAAAAAAAATTATAGTACGTGTCTATCTCTCTTTATTCTCCACTAAAATCTCTCTACAAACGAAACTCAAAAATAAATTAAAAATCACACATATTCTGGCTAGTTTATTCTCATTTTTCTCACTCTCTTTTGACTACACCTTTAGAACCGTTATTCATAATTGTTTGATACTATCCATAAAAAGACGCACTCTCGTGAGAGTGAATACACTGTGTTTTTAATACGCAATGTTTTTACTCAAAAATAAAAAATAATATGTTGAAACTACTGGAATAAAATCTAATTTGAGAAAATATTTTCCAACTAAAGTCACACAAAATATTATTAGCACTACATACTTAATAAATAAGATAAACACAGCTTGTCTCTTTACAAGAGTTACACATTTTATAAGCATTCTGCTGGCTTCTGTAAAAAAACTAACAATTGTGAAATATCATTATGGACAATGTCATTGTCAATCAAATAAATTTCTCACATACGCATATCTTTAACATTAAAACAAAATTTTTTCTCAAATAACACCAAGCTTGTGCGTGCAATTAACCCTAGTTACCTCGTCATTTTTTATACAGTTGGCTTTGCTGTCGTTGACCCTTTGCTAAAGCAATTTGCAATTGAGTCTTAATTTTTTTCCTTCATTTAACAAGAATTACCTAATTACATTAGGCAATCATTAATTGTTGAATCTGTCATACTGAGAAAAATGGTTTCGTACACTATTCTTTAAAATAGACAAAAAAAAACTTTTTTTTTGGTATGAATTAGAATAATATAGGCCATTTTATACTGCATGCATAGAAATATATTTTTTATGTCACGCAGAGAGTGAAAAAGAGATTTTTTAATGTTCTACTCGGTTAAAAATGCATATAGCACATATTTATATTTGCAAACATTGTATCTACATTTTTTATACACATAATCAGAAGAGATGATTAGAGAAAAGACATCGTACCTAATTTGTATGCAAGAGACTCAAAAAAGTATGATTGCTTCAACGTTTCTGTAAGTCACAACATGATAACTAAATCCTCGACTTCGCTTGTATAAAAATATTGCAAATAAAACAGTATTAAAAAAAGTTTTTGCATTGAAAAAAAATATTTAAGTAAGCGAAAGACGGGACCATAGCTTTAACAAAGCCTCTATTAACAAACTAACACTGAATCCTTGAGACCTCGAACACAAGGCCACATTTAAAATGCTTGGAATTATTTTAAATTAAAGTGGACATCATAATATATGTGAGTTATAGTAGACCCGAAGTATGAGAGAAAAAATACAAAATTTTTCAGCTTATAAAATTTGTGCCCAGAAAAAGCTAGTTGGAGATAACGAGATAAGGACCCACATAAAAAAAAAAAAAAAAAAAAAAAAAAATGAAAAATAAATACAGCAGATAACAGAAAATCTGACAGCCCCCGCAAGTGTTGAAAAATGGCAAGCTTAATTGGCACTTTCCTTCCAACGTTATTCTTACAGCTGAATGATTATGAGATTCGGAAAGGGAAAAAGATTGGTGTAACCGTATCTTATAACAATCACCGCTTGTTTGTGGGAAATATTCCAAAGAATCGAGACCGAGATGACTTGTTCGAAGAGTTTACAAAGCACGCACGTAAGTTGACAATTGCCCTTAAAAAAAAAAAAAGAAAAATAAAAAAAAAATCAAACAAATAGGAAAAAGGCACTCGTTAACGTTTTTTTTGTCCTTTTTTTAATTTAATTTTTTTTTGTTCATTTTTACCCTCACAACACAAATACAACATTGAAATTGTATGAATATCTGCAGATGAAAGAAAGAGAGAGAATTTGTGATACAACTTCCAACGAACCGATAAAATTCGTCTTTTGTGACGTAAAACTCGTGTCATCGAAATCTTGTGTTTTTTTTGTCGTATTGTAATAGTAAAAAAAATCAACCACCTGTGTACGGTGATAATATAAAAACACTAACCAAATCAATATCTGTATCCCCTCTCTGTGATGTGTATATATTTTTTGTTTGTTTTTGTTTAAGTTAGTCGATTAATCACCTAATTGTGATTGGTTCTTTTCATATAAGTGTGGATTTACTAATTTCAATTTAGCACATTAATTTACTAATGAATAAACATTTCAAGATGAGCTTAGGCAGGAGAACTCGTTCAAGTATGTATATGTAAATTAAAAAAATTTATATATATATATATGTATGGAATCTAACCGTGTGAGTGAAATAATTTTCTTGCATGCTTTTAAAACACATTGTCGGGATTAAGAGATACAGAAAGGAAATTGATAGTAAAAATAATGATAATAACCAACTTACCCGCCGACTGACAAAAGCACAAATTCCCGGAGGCTAGCTGCGCGCTACGGTCGAAGGAGTAATAGATCACTCACTACATCCATGAGAACCCAAGCCAGAATTCCAATTAACTCGTGTATTAATACGTTGGACGAATTTCAAGATATTATCCCTCGTAACACGGAACTCGCTCTTCATTTCTTTTTACCAGCTATTTCTCTTTCTCCCTGTCCCTCTCTTTTTTTTGTGTGATGCTCTAACCGAGTCGTTGCAGTTCCTAATTTTTTTTTTTTTTTAATTTCTTGCATGAAATTTTTTCGATAAAAAAAGTGAGAAAGAGCAGTAAACATTTCCCGAGCGATAGTATACGTAGATGGTCCAAGATCGGGTGCGGTCGGAACTTGTCACCTCATAATACCTTACATACTTTAGTCGTATCAATTAGTTGGGTGTGCACACTGCTTTTGGGTTTATTCTTCATACTTACTCCTCACTCTGTTTGTTATTATTTATTTATTTATTTATTTTTTTTTGCCATACAAACCGAGTTTTCAGGGCTCAAAGGGGAGAGAGATTTTCACGCGTTGGAGGCGCAAAGGGGTGTGCAGCTTTTGACGCAGGGGCCATTCACGGCTGGTTGTGAATGGATGAGGGTTCGCAAAAGAACTTTCGACAAAGCTCCGGGAAAGGTAATCAGCCCTAATTGGAGTGGCGAGGGTTTTGTTGGAAAAATGAACGTTTTGCATTAGAGCAGAGGAAGCTTTGAGTTATACACAAAATGACGTTTTTTAATAACGCGTACACGAATGCGGGCTTTTTTCTTTTACGTTGAATTTTTTCGCCATTGACCAACTTGGTCTCCAATAAAAGCAGTATTTACAAAACGTTGTGGCACGTGAATTATCGTAGTACCCTTTTCTTGTTATTTGCAATGTCGTTTTCATTATCAACGAATGGACGACCTAGTTTTTTGCCAAGTATCATTCCCATTGAAATTCGTTTCCTATACATTATTATATCTTGTTTTGAAATTTACCAAATTTGGTGAAAAAAAAAAAAAAAAAAAAAAAAACCAAAAAATTAACCACAAGCGTCATCGAAAGGAAGATTTCAGCCGATGTCTCGCAGAGTTCAGGTGGCACATGTGCGTATATTATAAACTCGAAGAGGGCGATCGAGCAAAAGGAGCCAGCCAGGCCGAGGGGAAACACGCGTTGCGAAAAAGCATCGGGCTTTTGTAAAGTACGATGCAAATGTATAGTCATAGGTATACTTACACTCGGCAAAGAAAAACGAAAGCCGCCCGGTCACGTTTCTCACATATACCGGCCTCCAACACGCGTGCGCCCGATCAAAGTGTATATATACATATTCGCGCGCCGCCATTTCTCCTCGCTCGCCGCTCGCGCGCGTGTTTTTTCTCTCTATCCCCTCTTCCTTCGTTGTCCGTCCCGTCCGGCTTCTACATACATATTATACTCTCTTTCGCGAGGAGCGGCGGGTTTAGCTCCAATACATGTACACACACCCCACAATTACACCATACTAGTGGTGGTGGTAGTAGTTAGGTAAGTGTCTGTCTCTCGCGATGTGTATATATATATATATATGTGTGTATATGTATATATATACACCCAGAAGGGGGATTTTCGGCGCGCATAGGCTGGCAGCCGCTGCTCCGCTGCCATTCGCGATATCCCTCTCGTAGCGCGCGTTTATATTTCAAGTGTAGATGGGAAATATATTCGCGAGCTAGTCTCGCCGTTGTGGTCGTCTCGTGTCTGTGTGTGTTTTTTTTTCTTTCTTTTTTTTTAGTTTTGTTTTTTGTTGTTTTTTTTTCACATTGATAAGTGTTATTATTATTATTATTATTATTATTATTGTACATGCGTATACGAAATTGATAGTGGCCGTGTGTCGTCTGTACACACATATAGTATAATCGTGCGTGGCTCCGGTCTACTCGTCGTCGTCGACAGCAGCGCTCCGGTTCTTCTACAACACATACATACATACATACATACATACATACATACATACACATATATATATATATATGCTCCGTTCAGAGTTTTAAACCCACGTATACACGTACGTGTGTATAAATATATACGTATACGATGTGCATGTGTGTGCCGTGCTGATGCTGCCAGCTTGCTCCGGCTGGCGGCTGGTGGTTAGCTCTGTTGTGCTTTAGCAGCCGAGCCGTGAGAGCCATCAGGTACTTTTTGCAGCCTTATATACCCTATATCTACTCACATAACATATATATGTAAGTGTATAATTATGCAGTGCGAATATCGCGAATCTCCTGTCGTCGTCGTCGTCGTCACCGAGGACCGTTCTTTCTCTCTCCCTTTTTCTCTCTGTGCAATATCAACCTGGTGTGCAAATTTTTTTTTTTTCTACGTTTCGTGAGTTATT